TTTTATTGAATTATTTTTACAAAAACACTATCATGCCATATGTTATTCTGAACATTTTTTCAGTTTAATGAAGATAGTCGATGTTTTAGGTTCTTATTAGTAATCCTACTTCATTCCCTCTAATTACTGCATAATATTCCATTGCCTGAATGCACCATCATTTGTTTAAACCATACCTTTTTGGGATGATCGAGTTGTTTTCAATTTTTTCCCTGTTACCAGCCATGTTGTATATTCACATTTAAATTTTTATAGCCATTACAAAATTGCTTCTAAAAAGAGTAGATACCACCTCCAACAATGTATGAAAAGGAAGATTCTTCATGTTTTCACCAAAACCCAAAAAAGTTTTTTAATCTTTGTCAGTTTTGTGGTAAAAAAAAAAAAAGTATCTCCAACATTTTATTTGTTACATTTATTTTAGCTTTTACTTTTTAACATTTTTGTCATATTTATGTACTTATTTGTTTACTCATTTCTGTCTCTCTGTTTTTACTTGAATTCCTTTCTTTATTTCTCTCTGCCAGACAAGACCTGTCCTAGACATCTTGAGGCAGAATTGGACACGTGCCCTTCTATGCTGACCCTACAACCTTATTCATTCTGTTTGGAGCTTGAGATGCTGTGCCTTGCAGTGGATTTGGGTTTTTGTTTTCTCACACGCCTTTGTCTGAAATGAACAAGAGTTCTTTAAGGATGATACTATATTTTATTTGATTTTTAAATGTTCCCTCCCTAGTCTTTCAGTATTTTTGTTATTCTAAATGGCTCTTACTTTATTTGTACTTAATTTTCGTTATATCATATTTTTTGTTGGAGTCATGAGACATTTTCCAAATTGGCAAATTTCATGGCACCAAGGAGCAGGGGTTGGTTGTCTGTGAAAGCCTCTCATTGGCATATAACAGACATGCCTGAAACTGCACAAAGTATCAGTGTATGGCTTGTTCACAAAACAACACCCATGTAACCGGCAACCAGAGAAAGAAATAGAGCATCATCAAGACACAGCATGTGCCCTTTCGGCTTCATTTGAATCATTCATTCTCAAGGATAATAATTATAACCTTCAGATCAGTCTTGCCTAATCTGAACATTATATAAAATGGAATTATGCAGTGTGATTGGTGTTACATCATCATTTCTTCAACCTTCATTCCCACTGATAGAGCTAGATTATTGCATTGCATGAATACACCACAATTTATTTATTTATTCTGGATGTTGAGGGACATGTGCATTCCTTTTCTGGTTTGGGTTGCCAAGTTGAATATGCTTTCATGTATTATTTGGTGAACGCATGCATGTTTTTCTCTTGGATGCATACCCAGGGTTAGAATGTCTGAGTAGTGGTGAGTCCTAGACTCAGCTACGGCAGATTCTATCAAAGGACCTTCTAAAGTGGCCGAACCTATCCTTACTCCCATCACCATGTAGATAAGACTTTGAGGGTTTCCACCTTCCAACTACACTTGGCATTGACTGTCTTTTTCATTTTAGCCATTCTAATGGATACGTAGTTGTTTTAATTTGCATGTCTCTGAGTAAAGACACCACTTTTTTGTATGTTTATTTGCCTTTCGAATATCCTCTTTTGTGAATTGCCAGTTGAAATCTTTAGGCCCTTTTGTTTTCTGTACCAGAACGCCTATTTGTCACTTGTTGATGTGTATATAGTTTTTATATATCCCGAATGCAAATATTTGCTAATTATATATTTAACACTTACCTTATACTCTATGGTCAGTCTTTTGGCATCATGATGTCTTTTGTTAAACACAGGTTCTTAACTTCAATGAGTAAAATTTATTTTTACTCATTTTTGTTTCATAGATAGTGGGCTTCTTACCTGTGTTTAAATTGTGTTATGTCAAATGTTTTTTGGAGTTGTTTGTATTTTGGAGTCCAGATTAAGAAATTCTGCCTCTCAAAAGTTATAAAAATCTTATCTTAGGTTTTCTTGCAGATTTATTTTACCCTATATTTATGTCTCTATTTCATCTGGAGTTGAGTTTTGTGTATGTATGAAGAACATTCAGGTATTTTATTGTTGTTGCTGTTGTCATTAGTGAAATTCAATTGGCCATTTGTTGAAAAGTCAGTCTTTCTTCATGGTATGTTACAATGTGATTTTTATCATAGATAGATAGATCTATAGATATATCTGTTTCTGAACTTTATTCCATCCCATTGATCTATTTGTCTAACCAACTTAATGTTTTTCTATCTCAATTCCTTATTTTATAATAGAGTATTAACAAACCCACACTGGTGTTTGAAAAGGTATCATCGAGTAGGCCAATAACTGCAGTGATTTACTAAGATAACATATAGGAGGCCCAGATAATTAATATTAGGAATGGAAATAAAAATATACCCACATGGTAGAGATGAGATTTTAGAAAACTTAAGAAAATAATAGATTACATTACATCAATGTATTAGAAAAATCTTCCAGTCAAAAGAAAAAAAAAAAGAAGACAACGGTCTTATTTATTTAATGATGCTAAGATGACCATGTCAGACGGCAAGCCAGTACAATAAATTTAAAAAAAATAAAAAATAAAAAAGTACAATAAATAAAAATTAAGAGCTGAACTTTGTAATCCATCTATTAAATAGTAACTCTGTGATCTTATAAATAGGTATAGAAAAAATAATTTAATAGAATTTAATACTTTTTTTTTTATTTACTTATGATAGTCACACAGAGAGAGAGAGAGAGGCAGAGACACAGGCAGAGGGAGAAGCAGGCTCCATGCACCGGGAGCCCGACGTGGGATTCGATCCTGGGTCTCCAGGATCGCGCTCTGGGCCAAAGGCAGGCGCCAAACCGCTGCGCCACCCAGAGATCCCGAATTTAATATTTTTTTAATGATCAACTACATAGCAAGGTAAAAGGGAAACCCTCCTGCCACATTATGCAGCCCTGGATTTTTCTTAAAATGAAAAGGGCTGTACTGAAACCTTTCAGCAAAAAAATAATGATGTAATATGTTATAGTAGAAAATACCATAATAGCAATGACAGAAGAGAGGGCACGTCACAAACGTGGGGCACCCTGCAGGTGGTTGGGAGCCCACGGCCTGTGACGAGGCCTCACGCCCTGCGGGGTGGCACCCTTTCTGTGTCCCACCCCGACTTGTCCTGGAAACTCCCGGGTCGTGGGAGCAGCTGTCCCTCAGCCTCAAGAGCCGACCTGCGCCCTCCCGTCTTCCTTGTCCTGCAGGCCTTTCCCACCCTGCGGCGCCTGACGCTGCTCACCCCAGTACTGCTGCCGATGTGAGACCACAAAGCTTTGTGCGCACCATCGTGACACTAGGTGCCTGCCGGCCCTGGGCAGAGCCTGAAAGAGCCCGGTGAGCCCCCAGGGCTGCCCCCACCAAGCCGTGCAAGGGGATGCAGGTGTGGGGGCACCGGAGGACGCAGTGACTCCTTGAGTCACCGTGTTGTGCCCCCGAGACTCACCTGCCGCTGTGTGCCCACTATACTTCAAGAAAAATACCCACCCCCTACAAAACCCACAAAAAAGAAAATGCAGAACAGGACAAGGACTAAAAAAAAAAAAAAAAAAAAAAAGTTTACTTATGCTTTTAAAATGAAATAACAAAATCTACATATTTCGGGATAGAGGGCTTGCAAGTAATCTGAAATTACGCTGAATGTAAAAAAGCAACTTGAAAGTGGTACGAGCACATACACGCCAAAATGACATCTCTTATGCAATTAGTGTTAACTATACAAATTAGGACTATATATTGCCTGGGGATATATATATACATGTATGCACGCAACGACGAATGACAATTATGGAAATGCGAGATGGGGGCGTGTAAATGGGAACATTTCGGAACGGGGAGTGAGAGGAAGAACTGACAAGTAAGGGGAAAGCAGAGCAGTACGGCTCCATGTGTGAGATTTTAGTTTAGTTTAGTTTTTAAAGATTTTATTTATTTATTCATGCGCAACACACAGAGAGAGACACCGGCAGAGGGAGAAGCAGGTTCCCCGCGGGGACCCTGATGCAGGACTGTAAGGCCGGGGTCGCCACCTGAGCCAAAGGCAGACGCTCAACCGCTGAGCCCCCCGGGCGTCCCTAAGATTTTATTTTTAAAGAAGGGCTGAAGCCGGCAGGGCAGCGTGTTAACATGGGGGGCGGAGGCCGCAGAGCACCTGCCACATGCTGCGCTTTGCTCTCTCCTGGAAACATTTCGCAGGAAATGTCCTAGAACTATGCGGCCCGGGTCACACCCCCTGCAAGGTGAGATCGGGCTCTCTTTGGATACGTAATATCCCCAAAAGATATTATTGGGATTCCTGTGCTGTTTTCCTTACCTCATTTATTATGATGTTTATCCCCCTGACAATTTTGTGCAATAGGCGGCGGAGGGGAAAGCAGCGGCCAAGGCAGGCGGAGGACCCTGGTTGGGGGGGTGGGTAGCAGAGCCCTGGGCCTGCCTGCAGCCCTGCCTCTGCCGCTAAGGGGCAGCCTGGAAAGGTCCATAGCCCTGGCCGAGGCATACTAAGACCTTCTCGGGGCAGGAGTTTGTGTCACACACCTGCGCCTGTGTGTTGGTACTCAACGCATTTTCGGAAAATAAAATTTAGAGAAAAAACACAATGCAGGGCCAGATGGTCCCAGGCCGAGTGCGTGTCCTGGTGCCGGGGCATCACCTGGGGAGCCTGTTTCTCCGGCCTGCGGCACGCACGCTCCCACCCAGTGGGCATCGCAGATCCACAGCGACACCACTTTGGTTAGCTTAGAACAAAGCCGTGTCAAACTCACTTCCGATGTGGGAGCCCGGGAAAGCTTTGAGCCTTAGAAACGAGCTGACACGCTGGAAAGAAAGAGTTTGGTGCTCAGCTCCATGGTGGGGCCAAGGTCAGGGGCGCTTGCATCATGCTCCGCGCCCCCGGCGGGGCCAGGCCCCTGCAGGCGACCCGCAGGCGAGGGCGGAGGGGGCCACCAGCAGTAAGCCAGGGCTGTGCTCTCTCCGCAGCCTGCACTTCATCGTGTTCGACACGGAGACGGCCCACGACATCCTGAAGGTCTGGGACGGCCCGGTGGACAGCGACATCCTGCTCAAGGAGTGGAGCGGCTCCCTGCTGCCCGAGGACATCCACAGCACCTTCAGCTCGCTCACCCTGCAGTTCGACAGCGACTTCTTCATCAGCAAGTCGGGCTTCTCCATCCAGTTCTCAAGTAGGTGGTGGCCGCGTGTCCCCGGCCGTGTCCTGGGTCCTGCCCGTGCAGCCTGAGGCAGGCTTCCCGAGTGGGGGCTCGGGAAAGGTGGGCCGGGGGCCTAGGACAGGCCGCGCGCCGGCAGGGAGGGGCCGAGGCGGCGATGGGCCTCTACCTGGTGCCCCGCACACCTGCACCAGGCCCCCCGGGGCCCCCAGTGCACGGGACATCTCTGCAGCCGGGCTGCCCACCGGCCACGGTGAGTGTCAGCCCCAACCACCCGGCAGAGGGGCCCTGTGCTGTCCCCCTTCGGGGCCACTCCGGGAGGTTCCCATGGTGCAGTGCCCCCCGCGGGATGGCCCACGGGACCCTGCGTTTGCACACCCGACCTCCTCCCCCCGGGGAGCGTTTCCGCCCCGGCCACCTGGCCCATGAGCGGCTTCCCGAGAAGGAGGGAGTGCAGACACCTTGGGGAAGGTGCCCGTGCGGGCCCTTCAGAGGGCAGCTCGCGGGGCTGTCGCACAACCCGGTGCTGCACGGGGTCAGCCGCGCTCGTAAAACAAGTGGAATTTGCACACCAGCACATTCCGACTCAACTACCTCTTGGCAGGTCGCTGGTGGGCCATGTTTAGGATTTACGTAAGAAAATGGGCTTAGCTCAGTTTAGTGCTTTCAAAGGTCGCTAATAAAAATGAGATTATTGTCCGCACAATGTTTTCTCTCTGGTTTCACTGTGCTTCCAGCACAGGAATTTGCAAACATGGGCTAATTTTACTTGCTGGTCTCCAGTAAAAAAAAAAAAAAAAAAAAAAAAAAAAAGAAAAGAAAAAAAAAAAGGTGAGTTTGTTCCAGCTAACCTGGCTTGGGAGGAAATTCCTTTATTGCAAGACTTTTGCTCTTTTCTTATCTTTAGAAACGGTGCTGAGTAGATGGTAGACGTGTGATTTACCATCCTGATTTGGCAAAACAAAAACGTGGGCAACACTGTGAGGTTGTGTTTGTTTCTCTCTTCTACTCATTCCATACTTTTCTGGCCTCTTTTTCATTTAATGGATTTTTTTTTTTAAAAGCAGGTTTAGGTTCATAGCAAAATTGAAAGGAAGGCACAGAGGTTTCCACGTGCCCCCCACCCATCAGCACCCCCACCGGACGGTGCACCTGCTGTGATGGATGGTGGGAGGTCACCGTCACCGAGAGCCCCTAGTTCACGCTGGGGCCCCCCTGGAGGCTGACATTTGTGGGGTTAGACGAGCGTTTAACGACGGGCGTCCACACGGTCGTTTCACCGCCTGCGCATCCTCTGTGTTCTGACAGCAGGTCCCTCCCCTGTGCCCTCAACCCCTGGCCACTAGAGATCCACTGACCATCCCCACGGCTTTCCCGGGGTCTCATGGGATCAAACTCATAGGGTGTAGCTTGTCCAGACTGGCCTCTTTCACCCGGTGACACGCATTCAAGTTTCCTCCATGTCTTTTCTCCCCTTTTTAGTGACGAGAAATACTTTGTTTTCTGGGTGGGCCCCGGTTTACGTATGCGCTCACCTACAGAACGGCTCTGTAGCTACTTACAGGGTTTGGCAATTGTGAACAAACCTGCTGTGAATGTTCTTGTGCAGGTTTTTGTGTGGATCTAAGTTTTCAGGTCATTTGGGTAAATACCGGGCAGTGTGATTGCTGGCTTGTAGAGTAATAGGGTGTTTACTTTTGTCCCTGGCCTTTTAATTTTTTTTTTCCCATTTTAAAATTCTTGCAGAACCCAGAAACCACTATTTTTCTATTTTCCTTCATGATTTCCCTCTCTTCAAAAAAGCATCTACCCAGTCTGGGTTATTTTTTTAAAAGGCTCTTTATTAGAGTTATTTGAAAATCATAGATATTTTGATTCTCCTCATATAATTAATAAATTGGTCTTTAGGAAGTGATCAATATGAACATATCCATCCATTAAAGTTCCTACAGAAATGAAACTTGCTTTTTTTTTTGAATTCAGTGTTTCAAGTGGTCTAGTTCAAACCATGAGAAATTGTCATTTTTATACATAAAAATGTTGACAACTGACAATTTCATATGGTTTGACAGGACCCTGCACGTGAACTTTCCCTCCCCCATTTCCAGCTAATAAGTCTGTGCGTCGGGTATGCTTTGGGAAATTCCATGTTAGGGGAAAGGTATGCTGTTCTCTGAGGCTCTTTTATGAGTTGGTTTCTGCAAGGTTGTCTTTAAAACTCTATAAAAAGCAAACCAACAAGACATAAAAACTTTTTTTGGCATAATTTAAAAAAAGATTTGTCCTGGACTCTGACTTAGGAAATGTGGATTTCTCGCTTGACCTCTAAAGATTGTGACTGAACTTCTATCTCTGTCCTTATTGCTTCATTTGTGAACTGAAGATATGACACCAATTTCCAAGGGGAAATTCCTTTTTTGAATATCTTCTACCATTTATCGAGCTACTCTCTAACCCTAGAAGGGAACGTGTGTGGACTAGGTCTGCTGTCTGGCTTGGATTCATCCAATGGGGAGCTTGGGCAGGACGGGAGAGACACAGGGACCAGAATACCCTGATTCCCCCGCTGGTGACCCTGGGGTTGTCTGTGTCCCTCAGTCAAAGCTCACTTCTTTTCTCAAGAAGCCATGCCCACCCATGGTCTTTTCCGGGTTTTATAGCCAATTTCCAGGAACCACACTTCCACCTGGGATTGGCCTTCTGAAGAAACCCCCTCAAATAATCCTATTGGGAGTGCACCATATATTTTGTGTTGGACCCTAAATAACACAATTCTAGAAGTAACACGGACAAGTCTACGAAATAGTCAAGAGTGTGTCCCACTCTCTCAGCTAATAAGTCGAATCCTAAACCTGATTCGTCCACGTGACATCATATCCAGCTCAGCCCCAGCACGTTTGGGTGGATGAGGAGCCTGGGTCAGTTGACCTTGCGGGGCCCCTGCCGGGTTTGGAGCCAGAGCGTATTCTGGGTGGTGAGTGGAGGGACTAGGCCCTCTCTGCTCCCGGTCGTCACCTGCTCGGTGGAGGTGCCACAGCCACGTGGCCCCATATCACACAGGCTCCCGTGGGGGCCACAGGCCGTCCTGCCGACTGGGCAGCCAGGCTGCCCCGTGAACCCCGCGGCATAGCCCGCCACCCTGACACCAGTGGGAGAGGGACCCTGGGGCATGAGCCTCCGTGTCTCCAAGAACTGCATGGAAAGCTGACTCCTACATCTGGAGTGACTACCTTGTCAGATTGTCCGGGTCTTGCCCGACTTCAGTGCAGAAGGCTCCGGAAGCCCTTCAGTCGGATGATAAACCCAACGCTGCCATGGGCCAGGACCTCGTCGGCAGCGCGGGTTGGGACAGCTGGTCACCCCACCACAGCCCATGGCTAATGCGCCCTCCCCGCCTCCGTGGCTGCAGGGCCTTCCCTTCCTCACTGCGGGGATCCCCCAAGAAAACGGATTCAAGCTGCAGTCTTTCTAGAGCAAAGGGATGAGGAGCCCCCTCACCATCTGCAGAAGAGCCTGTCCCTCCAGACCCACAGGCCTTGCTTCTCGTCTGTGAGTGGGAGAAAGGAGAAGTCCATGTATTTGTGTCTGCGATCTGAAGATAGAAAAGAAAAATAATTAAATTAAATTAAATTTAATTTAAAAAATGTAAAAAAAGAAAACAAAAATAGAAGAGAAAGAAAAAAGGAAAAAAGGAAAGAAAAAGAAAAAAAATGGATACCTCGTGTATGTTGGATTGTTTTACCATTCATCAGCCAAGCTAATGTTAAAATTTGAAGTGATAGCGCTGCACTATGATTTCAAAGTAAAACCTAAAACAATGGAACTGAAAGGAATATCCCCCTCATGTAACGGGTACCTCAAGTAGGACCGCCGTTGCCAGGCAAGGGGGCTGTTTATTCGATAGTATTAAATTAATTTTCTTGGTAAACCGTTTTACCTTGATGGTACGCCCGTGATACACGGATTACGGATTATAGGTACCACTGAATTATTGGAGGGGAAACATTCATTTGGAAACTGGTTTTCCTAGAGACATTTGGATCATCAGATTTTAAATTACTTTGAAGCATAAGAATCGGACATCGCTGCTGCTGGGCCTCAGGCACGTAACCCCATACTGAGTTGGAGCTGCTTGATTTTTGACTTGATTTTGTTTTGTCCCCGAAACACCTTCGTCAACTACCCCAAGCTTTCCTTCCTTTCCGAGTCCCCCCGTGTGCAGTGGCCTCTCTACAGCAGCCTCCTTTGCTGCTTGTCCTCTCCCTTCCCCCAAACCGTAAAGGCTGCGCGTCACCAGGGTGACATCACGTGCTTCTCCTCCACAAGCATTCACCGCTCAGGTGTTGTGGGCCATCCTCCCAACGCCTCTCCCCTGAGCATCCACAGCCTACCCAGCTCCCTCTCCGCTTCGATGTGGAGATACGGAGCAGGCAAGCCAACACGGGACACTCACCCACGCTTCTAACCCCGTCTGTTCTCCAGCTCGGTGTCCTCAAAGGCTTTCCCGTCACCGCAGACGTCAGCTCCATTCTGCTAGCTGCTCAGGGCAAAGCCTCTGATGTCATTTTTTACGAGCCCCTTTGTCTCACACCCCACATATCATCCAACAACAAATTCAGTAGGGTCCATAGTCAAAACCCCAATTCCCACCAATTCCCTCAACCTGTCCTGCTAACACCTTGGTGGGCATCATCCGGGATGGGGCCGGGTTATCGTGTCTTACAGAACAGCTTCCTGTCTCCTGCCTTTGCCCGTCTACTAACTCACCTGAGCACGGGAAGCCGGATGAGTCTGTCTTGGGGCACCTCAGGGGACAACTCGCTCCTGGTCAGAACCCTCCACTGTCTTCCCATCTCAGACTCTTCCTATTGCCGAAGTAAAGGCTCTCAAGTCTTCTATGCAAACTCGCCCTAATCCCCATTTTCAACGTCGCCCACAATCACTGCCCCCTCCCGTCAAGCTCCTTCCAACTTGCCCTTCAGCGGGACACGACCCCTCCATCTGCCCCACACGTA